AGAGCTGCCCGGTAAACCGTAGGCAGAGAGGGAGAAGAGGACAACAAACGAGGGGCTGTGACAAACTGTTTCGTCAGAGTTTCACCGACTCATCACGAAGCTGAACCCTGAACAGTCTACAGAATCCCCTAACTGATTACGTTGTAAGTGATAATCCACCTTAACCCCGGTTGTGGTTAAGCATCAATGACTGCCCAACAACTGATACCGTGAGGTGGGTACCAACCACTGCCCTCAAGGTACCTGTGACGAAAATCAAAGCAGACAATCAATCACCCACACCAGCTGGAAAACTCTATAGACTGTCGGTTCACAACCCATCACAAGCCAGCTAAACATCCACGAAACAAAGAAAGGTATGCAACAGACAAAAAATACACTCCAGACACGCCAAGGCACTAGAGGCACAGCATGGCCGCATAGTGACGACCCCGACAACTGTCGCTCGACTTGACCGCAGAACCGTAGCAGGGTGCTAGCGAAGTCGTGGTATATACCATCAAGCAGAGCTGCCCGGTAAACCGTAGGCAGAGAGGGAGGGAGAAGAGGACAACAAACGAGGGGTTGTGACAAACTGTTTCGTCGGAGTTTCATATATATATCGTCAAACAAAACTGCCCGGTAAACCATCGGCAGAGAGGGAGAAGAGGAAAACAAACGAGGCGTTGTGACATAATATATCTATATATTGAAAGGATTTCACACAGTCAGTCCCAGGTCCCAGTCCCAGAGTCCCAATTGGTCCCAGTGGATGGAAGCTATGACGTAGAGGGCATTGTAGATGAGGATGTATTTAGAACAGGAGGTAGAGGTCGTCCCCAGAAGCAGTACAAGGTCCGGTTTGCCTATCAAGAACCGGAAGACGACCGCTGGTTCACAAGAACAGAACTTCTAGAGACAGCTCCCAACATAGTCAGAGCCTATGAGCGTGACAGGAAAGGTAAAGGTCCTGCCTTGGACTGAAATATTCTCGGAGGACCTCGAATTTAGGACGGCGGGAGTGAAACGGTTTTCACCTTTCAGCAGTAGCAGATGCAGTACCCAGGGTTCGATCCCTACACCTCGCCTTACCCATGTACAGTATCTGTGTAGACCCCGAGAATTGAACCTATGACCTGTGTATTCGTAGACAGCTGGTAGGTCTGTCGTAGGTCCATAGGCAGTAGGGGTTTGATCTGTAGAGCTATAGAGTAGAAGTCTTAGCGAGTTCCAGAAGGCTAGCTGTAGTCCTTCTAGAAGGTAGGCAAGTGGGCAAGTGGGCAAGTGGGCAAGTGGCGAAGCAAGTGGTGGACTAAACTGCAGTGCAATCGCAGTACGACGACGGTAGGATGGCAGTGAGTCCACAGTCAGTCAGCGGTAGGGTCCAGTCAGTCCCAGTCCGGTACAGCAAGTACCACGGGGGACTGTGAGCACCATGGGCCGATGGCAAAGGGCAGACCAACGAGTTTTCGAAGTATAAATCAAGAGGCAGCGCCCAGCCTTTCATTCATTCCTGCGTGAGCCATGCGRAAGCGCTGCCACAGCGACTTGTGCAAGGAGGTCTGCAGTGAGCCCGGAGGACGCAGTGGACAAGAGAGGAGGAGTTAGCATAGCGATAGGGTAGAGACAGCCATAGCTGCCATAGCTGTAGTTAGTGTGAAGTGTGTGTGTGTATGTGCGAGTGTTCAGAGTTACGCGTGTGGGATATCCAGGGTGATCCAGTGTGTGTGAACAGTGAGTTGTTTGGGCGCTAAGTCGCCATAGCCAGTTGGAAGTGGACTCGTATCTGGAAGCCATATCCCTGAGTTTTGAGTGGGCGCATGTCGCCAGTTTGCTGTGCTGCTGTTTACATGCATGAAAAGTGTGAACGAGAACGAGTCTGATTGCACCAGTCCCAGGCTGTCCCAGTAGGTCGAGTCCTATAGTCCGTAGGTCGAAACGTCGTAGGTCGGTAGATGTCGGATACCGAAGCGTCACGGTAGGTAAAAGTTTGCAGGTACCATCAGAGGAAGTGAAGTCCCAAAGTCCATTTTTGCAGCACCGTCCGAAAAAAGTCTGAGGACTTCTGGAACACGAAAAAGTGCAGCAGAGGCCGCGGGCGACCGGTACCGGTCGAAGCAGGTAGTTTCAGTCAACTCCAGCTATTTATAGCAGAGACTGCGGGCGGCCGGTATGTACCTGACTTCCTCTCCCTAGCTATAGTGACAAGGCCATCAGGTTGTTCACTTGCAAAGTTGCGGCAGCCGCTGCTGGTTGCTTGTGCGATCGCGTGACCTGGACAGAGGGAGGCGCTGGGGAGAAGCAAACCTGGCGGAGAGAAGTCAGCCATAGTTAAGCATAGGGAGGAAGAAGACGGCGGCCATAACGGCAGAGGTTTAGAGTGATACATCGCAGTTGTATTCAGGGTAGATCCTAGTAGGCGGAGAGAGAGAGAGGCAGAGCACATCAGAGAGGTTGAGCAATACAAGACCTGAGAGAGAGAGAGAGAGAGAGAGAGAGAGAGAGAGAGAGAGAGAGAGAGAGAGAGAGAGAGAGAGAGAGAGAGAGAGAGAAGAGAAAGAGAGAGAGAGGGTCACACACCGAGGGAGGGGAACTCGGGTACATATATTTTTAGAGGAAATTCATCTGGCGCTACTTCATCTGTTATCTCTCAGCCGTGGTGTGAACGCTCATGTGAATGCTCTCTTCTTGAATGTTTCAGTTGGATGAGATTGTGAAGCTCATTGCATTGCAATATATACCTAAAACAAAAGGAGAACGCTCACGGTTTAGGTTGGGATTCTCTCTTCTGAGTTGTAACCTTTCTTTTTCTTTTTTTTTTCCTTTTTTCCTTTTTTTCCTTTTTTCTTTTTTTCTTTTTGCTTTTTTTCTTTTTTCTTTTTTTCTTTTTTCTTTTTTTCTTTTTCTTCGTTTTTTTTCGTTTTTTTTTTAATTATGTCTTACAGTTTGACTCTTACCTTCATAAATGCACTGGTTGAAATCGAATTTATGTTGCGCGAGAAATTCAACAGATCCCACTTGGCAAAGAAATATTCGAGATGGAATATCTCTTTCCAAATGTGAGCGGGGAAATAAAAAAAAGTTGTACCTGCAAAAAAAAAAAAAGGGAAACAGAAGGTCAATCCACCAATCAGTATCAACTACAAAAAAGCAACAGCAAAATTAATCATCAAATGATGCAAAATACTTTCAAAAAATTGCAACTCAAAATTAATCATCAAACGATGCAAAATATTTTCACAAAATAGCTGCTTGAAAAAAAAAAAAAAAAAAAAAAAAGGTGGCACCGACACACCAAAGATGTGCACCTGAGAGATATGGAACAGAAGTCGGTTGGGAAAAAGAAAAGGAAAAAAACAAAAAAGCAGATTCCGGTACTACTGGTAGTATGTCTTTTTTTTAGGGGGGAGAGGGGGGGAAAGCTCAGAGTTGGCAGGGTTTTCTTTTCTTTTTTTTTTAAGAGTTGCCAGGATCTTCTTCAGCTTTCCAGTCCTTTTTTAGCATTCTCCACTAATTACAACTCGCTGGACTAGTGAAACCCCCTCCTTCCTCCCTCTCCTCCCTGCTTTCTCCGTCCCACTCTCCCTCCTTGTCGACCAGCAAACCCCTCCCATCCTAACTTCCATTAACAAGATGATCCCGACATTCATTTACGCTGACATCAACCCCCGGCTGTCCCAACTGTCACTGTTGGCAGGTTGTAATCCTTGTTTTTTTCCTCCCCCGCCCCCGCCTCCGCCCCCCAGGTCGTCATTCCTAGACTGACTAGTAATCATCCCATACTCCCGATACCGGCGAGTGAGTAGCAGTCAATGGACATCGATTACTTGATGAAATGCGGCCGCAGCGAGACCCCGAATGTGATCCAGACCGATCAGAACCCACACCACCACCTCTCATTGCCACGGCGAGACCCGGAATGGGATCCGGACCGATCTAGAACGTTCCCAAGCAAACTATTTACTGGTTTCGCCCTCTTCTTGTTCCATTTCTTTCTTTTCTTCTTTTTTCTTTCTTGCCCTTTCTCTCTGTTAATCTTCTCTCTCCTCTCCTCTTTTTTATTTTCCTCTCCCTCTTCAAATCCCCCGTTACCGAGTTCATGTCCGGACCTCCTCTGGGTCTTTCCAAAAGAATTCCGACTTGATCTGTTCCAACGAGCAGGAAAGGAACCTGCTCTGGCTGCACAGATCTAAAAAAGAATAGGGATAATTTGGAAAAGACCCCCATAATACAATACTATCATAAAATAACAAAATGCAATAAAGTAAAAAAAAGCATTCTAAAAGATTCAGATTCCAAATTATTATATTTTTTGTTGTATTAATTGATGTTAGTTAGTTGTTCCACGCATAGGATGAGTTCCGAAAGAAACTGGGATTGGGACCATTCAGCCATTCAGTTGGGACTGGAATAATGGGGCTTGTCCCACGGATCGACTTGGAACGGAACTACCACATTCGTTTGCAGACAGTTCTGTGTCCGGCGATGAGAGGGGGGATGGAGGAGGGAGGAGGGAGGAGGGAGAACGGAGGAGTGTCAAATAAAGCGTCCTTTCATCTGAAGATTTCCGCCCAGCAGATGTTGGTCCCAAGTCCCAACGAGTGGCCTGATGGTTTCCAAATTAGGTATTTGGGACTTGGCCCACGGAGTACATAGTGTTAGCAGGAAGGTCTCCGCCATAAAAGTTAGGAAGATGCTTGGACAGTGGATTGATTGGGCATATATGAGAAACAGGAGCACATTTGTGTCACAGTCGTGGCCCGAGCTCTCCCCCAACGACTTGGAACAGAACCTCATGCCTCGTGGCACGCTCACATGGCATGAACGAGAGCGCATGCCACGTGGCATGCTCACAGAGCCCACTCGAATGATAAATGAAAATAAATAGAAACATCCTCCGGCCTGTTCACACCTGGTTGGTCTGTATTTCCCGACCTCCGGCAAAATGGCAACTATAGTTTTTTGGAGACCACGAATAAAAAACAGGAAAAATAAAGAGAGACCAACTGGCCTACCCCCCCATCTTCCCCCACATATAATGTACGGTCATTATAGCTGTATTTGGGGCAACTTTTGAGTCTAGATACAGCAATAACGACCGTCCGTTGTATTCGGGTGAAAAAGGGTAACACAGTCGGTACACGCCTAAACTGATGGAACACCGACCTGCGTTCGAATACCAACGGAACCCGATGAGTGGAAAAAACTCCAAATTTAGCCAGGGCTGGTCAGCTCAAAGATGATGATGGGGCTCGTTACACACTCCTCGGGCGCATAAATCCCCCGAGAAAAATTTTGTTCCACCTATCCTCGGGGATGAAAACGAAAAAAAAAAGTGAAAACATTTCCTCGGGGAATCCTCGGGCTACAGCCATTTGGTGGCGTTCCCCAAGGGACCTCCCGAGGTCCCTTGGAGGTCAAGCATCCGCGACAATCGGAGCGCTGATGGCACACATCGTTGACAACAAAACTTTCACCGGCTGGTCCATTGGAGTGCCTACCGGCCACCACACGGACATCTTGGGTCGTCAACGTTCTGCTTCAAGGAACCTTCCGCAAATGGTAACCGTTGGTGGCCTAATGGCCTCCGCGAACGTCCCCAACCGGTGTTCTCCCTCGCAGTGCGTGCCGCCAACCGGAAAGGGCTTCAACAGTCGGCACAATTGAATACTTTGGTCAACCCGTCTTTCGATTCCCCACTATACTCAGTGACTTCAAACGTTACGTGAAATGTTAGAGGGCATTTGTCGGATGCTGCGGTCTGTCGTTTGCTGCCCTCTCCGTCACCGTTTGGTGGACATGTACCGGCGTCCTGTAGTTACTGCCCTTCCCTACACGTCGTTCATGGCAACGTCTCTTGAAGGCTGCCGCTGCTGCTCCTGATAATCATTTTGTTTGTCCTTCTAATCGTCTTCCACGTCTGCATCGCAGGCTGTCTAGACGCACACGCAAGAGGCGTTCTGCAAAGAAGGGCGTCTGGACGCACACGCAAGAGGCGTTCTGCAAAGAAGGGCACACGCAAGAGGCGTTCTGCAAAGAAGGGCTTCATCATGGACGGACGGCAGGCAAAGAGCAGGTCTTCAGTGGACCACTCCACGAGCCACCGTGCAGGCCACGTCCCGGCTCGCAGTGCAAGGGCGTACGACCTGTTAGAGTGCGTGTGTCCCGTTAGAGTGCGTGTGTCGTAGTCCTCTACAGTCTGCTCGGTGGACCTTCACTGTCATCGTGGAATTATGGCCCTGTTGTATGTGTCGTTGATGGCTGACCTCTATTGAAGGTTGCCACTGCTGCTCCTAGTCACAATTTTGCTTGTCGTGGTCCTTATGTTCCACATGCTGATGGCTGACCTCTATCGAAGGCCTCCAGCAGAGAAGATGAGGGATCGACACCGACTGCAGTCACATCGACATTGGCAGCACGTCCCGCGGCCGTTCGTGTACACTGGATGCAATCGTCATCGCCCGAAACACACGTAGCGACATACGCAGCTTCTCCCATAAGTACTCCCCCATCGCATCATTGCATTGCCTGAGATCCGCCCACACCCCCCGGTCCTCCTTTTCATACACCATGTCACTTGTGGAAGAACACTGCAACCCATCGTGCAGCAAACCTGATGGCCACGGTATCCAGCTCTTCGACTGACTTGATGAAACGTCTTCCTCCTCCACGCGCGGATCTGCACTCTCATTCTGCCCAATGCCCTGCTGCTGACAACGAAAGAGCACGGCCGTCTTCTCTATCATCGTCAACTTCGCAGGTCCGTCGCGGCTGCCACCCTCCATTGGCCTGTATGTTGCAATGCTCACGAACCACAAAAATACATCAGTCTACCAACTCGCCATGACCACCATAACCTCAGCACCAAGTCACCGACGCCGCTGCCGGCCTCCATCGGCCCGTATGTTGCAATGCTCATGAAAGACCGAAATACATCAGTCTACCAACTCGCCACACATATGCGCCGCGGCAGGAGGAGGAGATGTCGATCGACCTTCGCGGGGCGCTCACAAATTCGTGACGACTTACGAGGACTCCACTGCGATGGTGCAAATTGCTGTTTCCACCATCGCGAATATGGACGGCACCTGCCCCGCGTCCCCGTCGTGACGTCCAGCACCCAACACGAAATTTGATTTTCAAATGGGGAGGTCCATTGCTTTTTAAGGAGAGGGGGGGGGGTGTTCCCGTCGCCAGCGCCTTTCAAAATCTACCGCCTTCGGCAGCTGGACCGCTTTGTAGCGACACGGACATCACCCAATGGACCAAGGCATTGCCCCCCCCCGGACTATAATGTTATGAAAATGGCCGTTGGGAGACGACCCCAAGGATAGGTGGAACCACGGCAGGAATTTCCTTCAAAACCCCGAAGGAAACTTCCTTCAGCCCCGAGGACCCCCCAAGGAGTGTCTAACGAGCCCCGATATCTCAAGGCCATCGACCCTTCAGGAAAAGAAAGAAAAAAAAAGAAAAAGAAAAAAAGCACGAGACAAACAGCTCGTGGGAAAAAACACATTCTCTCCCATTAGTGATTAGACAGACCCGTCTTCACCCCCGAATAGAACGCCCGGTCATTATGAAACCGCATCTGGACTGAAAGCTGGCACCAAATACAGCTTTGATGACCAGCCGTTCTATTCGGGGGGGGTGAAGACGAAAAATCATCGTGGTCATTTACCAAAATCAATGCCACGTTAGACTCTTTACCTTCTTCGCACCCGAATATAACGTACGGTCATTATTGCTGTACTTGGACTGAACGATGGCCCAAAAACATCTATAATAATGGCTGCCCGTACGTTGTATTCGGGGCAAGAAGGTAGTCTCATCCTCGTCCTTGACCAAAATCATCAATGCCACGTCGGACAGTCAAAGATACACTTCACTTTCCCTTAAAAGGGAGCAGCACCCGTCGAGATCGGGATTGCCCGGTAATCGATTTCCGTCTTTTTTTTTTTCTTTTTTTTTTTTTTGCCAAAGATACATTCGCTTTCCCTCAAAAGTGAGCAACACACGTCGAGATCGGGATTGCCAAGTACAGTCCGTTTCCTATTTAACATGGCGATCGGGATTGCCAGTTCTCACGACCGGATGGGGATCGGGATTGCCTTGTCGAATAGGAAACTGACTACGGTATTTATCCCGATCGCCACGTTGCTTACTGTGCCTCGATCGCTATCCCGATCGATATACTAGATAGATCGGGATGCTACACTACACTCGACAGGAATAGGCACCTGACTATCCCGATCGCCAGTTGCGTCCAGTTCATCCCGACCGATCGAGATCCCAGATCGGAATACACTAGAAAGGAATTATAGGATTGCCACCCATCTTCAATAGGAATCTGACTATATCCCGATCGCCGGTTGTCTAGTTTATCCCGACCGACTCGACATCTCAGATCGGGATACCATAACGGAAATTACAAGTTCGGGAGGAAACCGACTAATCTCACCATCAAGTCACTAGAACCTCACCCCTCCCCCGAATAGAACGTACAGTCAGTATCGCTTATACATACTGTAATATATTTGAGAATTTTGAGGTTTTTCTTTTTTTGGGGGGGGTTGGGGTGGGGTGCCGGGGGAGGGGGAGGGGGGGGTGCTTAACTTTCAGTCTATATATAGATACAGCCATAATGACCGTGCGTACTATTCGGGGAAGATAAGGTAAACCCCCCATCCTCACCCCAAATCGAGCCAAGCCTTAAAAAAACGACCCTCGCCAGTTACCAAAAAAAAAAAAAAAAAAAAAAAAAAAAAAAAAGTTGGTACACAAGAACCATGGCCGTTGCTTAGCCTCGGCATGAGGGATGCCATGCCATCGCTGGGATTTTTATTTTCATTTTTTTTCATACCCAAATTCCCAATCAATTTTTTGGATTTCGATCGCGATCTCTGTCAATAATTCCAAATAAATAATTGTCTGTTGACACGAATCGGTTATAAGTTATAACTCATAAATCATTTCTAATAAGAACAAATGCTAAATAATGGACGTCTAAAATGCTTTTCCCGCCCATTGGATTCAGGCGCAGTTAGAAGTTAGAGAGAAAAAGGGAGGGGGGGGAGCTGGGGATGGCCATACGGAGAGAAGCACAGATGAAGGACACAGAGAGAGGAAGGGGGGGGAGAGAGAGAGAGAGAGAGAGAGAGAGAGAGAGAGAGAGAGAGAGAGAGAGAGAGAGATGGTGGACAAGGGGGGTACGAAAACATAGAAGATCGGGATCCCATGATGACGGAAATCTCGTGCAGGACGAAGAATTGCTTCGGGTGGTGTAACTTCCTAAAATTGTACAACATCTTCCACTGTTTTTTTTTTTTTTTTTTTTTTTTTTTTGGGGGGGGGGGGGGGGGGGGGGACTGGCTACTTATGGCTGAGCCACGAAGGCTTTATTGGAGGACTGCCATTTGAAAGGGCACATCCCCACTTGCAAAATTGCAAAATTCTCCGCGCACGTTCAGACAGCAAACATCTTTTTTTTTTTTTTTTTTTTTTTTTTTTTTTGGGAATGGGGTACTTACGGCTGAGCCACGAAGGCTTTATTGGAGGACTCCCATCTGAAAGGGCATATCCCGACTTGCAAAATTGCAAAATTCTCCGCGCTGTTTTTCACGTTGAGATATCGCGTATCACACGAGTCGACCTCAATGTTCCGCCTCCACTTGGCACTCTCCACACCGGTCATCTCCAAATCAAGAGCAACGAAGTCGCATTCCTCGATGGCCGTCTGAATCCGACCCAAACTCTCGTCAAAATTCCTAATCGAGACGCTGGTCAGGTCTCTCCCGTCTCCGACTCGACCACCTCCTCCTCCTTCCCCTCTTTCTCCTCCTCCTCCTCCTCCTCCCCGCTCTCCCTTTTGTCTTTCCTTCTCCCTTTCTTCTCCTCCTCCTCCTCCTCCTCCTTCGTCTTCATTCCCCTCTCCTTGAGATTTTCCCGCCATAATTACTGAATAGCCCTCCAATACATCCCCACGTGTGACACGTGTCACATCATCACTCCGCCGACGACCATTATCTTTTGACGACGGTCCAGGTTGAGCAACCATCACCACCTCCTTCTCCTCCTCCTCCCCCCCCTCCTGCATAGCCACCCTCTCCTTCCCCAACTGAGCAATCACAAACTCTGGCGTTGCTACGGGACCGTCAGATCGAACACCACCTCGGCAGATCTTCCCGCCACGTGAAGAGTTTCCCGCCAAAATCTCCGATGGGGTGGTACTAAGACTGAGGAACCGTCGCCACGTGGCAGTTGATAACCGCCCCACGTGTAAGCCGCCGTCGGGATCGGACGATTTTCCTTTTCGGAATGCTGACAACGCTGATATTAAGAGATAGGACGACGAATTTGATGAGGATGATAAGGAGGAGGAGGAGAAGGAGGATGAGATGAAGGAGGTAGGGGAAGAGGAGGCGGAGGAGGGGAAGGAGGAGGAGGAGGTCGTCGAGCTCGCCGCAGCGCAACAGACTATAGCGGCAGCAGGACCAGCACTACATGATGCTAATGATGATGATGATGCTAATGATGATGATGATGATGCTAATGATGATGACTTGTCCAGCACGACCAGCTGTCGTTTCCTCTCAGGGATTCGATCCCTCGATCTGCCGACCTCCAAGTCCACCAGCGAAGCCGCGCGGTTGTCCCCCTTAGCAACAGTAGCAGCAGCAGCAGCCGCTCCAATCTGGATCAGCTGTCGTCGGGATCCCCGTGTAGGCCTCCCCACGTCGAGCAATATCAGCTGCCGTCGGGACGACGGCCCTCGACGGTGGTATCCCGATGACGGCAGGTAATAATCGGCGGACAAGCTCGAATTGCTGGATATGGATTTTGGAAAGCGACCGTTGAATACCCATTTCCCGCCAACTCGACACAAATTAGACAACGACGACGACACTCCCGCGCAACCCCGACCAGAGGGGAGGTTTCGCAGAAGCATCGTGGTTATGGTTATATCATCTCGCTGGATACACCCAGTGAGCGCCACGTAGGCAACCGAATTGGAGACCCTCCCCTGGCCCTCGATCCCGATCCCGACGCCCAGCCGCCACCCGCCTCTGCCGTTCCCGCCGCAGTAAATCATGCCACGTGTCCGCCTCCGAAATTCAATTTAACCTTGGCCCGGTATGGTACACGCGGGGTGCAGTAAGATGGGGGAAAGAGTGGGAGGGGGGAAGGG